TGCTTCATGCCCTGTGCACAGCTCTCAGACATCGGGAAAATCAGAGCAGAAAGCAAAAGTCAAGCAGGAAACGCAGCAGGGCGAACACGAGGGTGATTTACCCCCGATTTACATCACACCGCAAAACCCCTCCTGCTTTCTCAGGAAGCCAGAGGACAACTCACTGGTCCTGCTGGCGTTATCATTGCCGCTCTCGTAGCAGACGTGGCCGCCGTCGTCGGTGTCGGAGCGCTCCTGCCGCTCGTAGTGCCGCTCGCTCTCGCTGGTCCGGTCCCGGCTGGAGGCGGATCGCCGCCGACGCCGCTTCCTCCGGTATCCCCGGGGCACCGGTACCCCGATGTAGATGGAATGGTAATCTGGGATGGGAAGAAAAGAATCAGAAAGCGGGTCTGAGCGTTTCTAGCCTGTAAAGCCTTCCGCTCAAAGCATCCGCAGCCCAGAACGCTGGGCGCTCTGGAAGGTCCGGCCGCCACACGACGGGGATGCTCGCTGTGTCGCTCACCTTCTTCATCGTCGTATCTCCTCCTCGAGCTGCTCAGCCCCCTCTCGCTCAGCCCATCCTCATCCTCCAGCATGGTCCTGACTTGTGGTGAGAGCTGAACGGGGAGTCAAGGGCAGAGAAAGGGGAGAGGTGGTGAGAAGTGCCGGGAAGCAGCCCGTGCTACGGGTCATCCCTGCTACGGGAAGCTCTTGCATGTGGCCAAAACCCCAGGGACCTTCCCGGAGGGCTGAGGGCACACTGGGATCTGCCACCTCCTGCAATGTGCTGACCCTCCCCCATAGCAGCTCAGCCCTGCCTCACTCTGCACCATCGCTGCCCCCCCGCCCCATCCCCACAGCTCAGAAATGGATTTGACTGGGGTGACATCTCCATCCTTCCCTCCTGCTGCTGGCAGGAAGGTGTAAGCGATTATTAGAAGGATTTCCCAGTATGATGCTGCAGACCTGCTTGGCTAACAGAGCTGCTGCAGTGGGGCTGGCTGGGGAATAAACAGATATTTAACTTCTAGGGGGATGAGCACAGCTAAAAGGGGTTGTGTCAAAGCAGAGTTTGCCTTTCCCCGTATCCTGAGCACAATCTGATTTTCTGCTGCACACGTTTCCACTTCCAGATATCTTCCTACAAACCTACGCTTTTATTCCCCATGTGAGATTATTTGGATTTTGCCATGGACACTAATTAATCTTCCTAATTATCTGACCTCCAGGGATTGTCTTTCACACTTGACTTGGACGGGGGAATGGTTACTACTAGTGGCAGCCCAGTCGATGCCTCCCAAAGTCACTTTGAGAGCAGCTCTCTCTGCACCCCCTGCTCTGCCTGCCTGCATCCACGGCAATTTACTGCCATTCATCTCCTGCAGGGAAGCAAAATCCCAATTCAATCCCAAAAAAGTTTAAAATAAAAAGCAAACTAAATGTGCACACAAGGAGCCAGAAGGATCCTTTGCTGGCCAGGTCAGCTCTGCTTGAGTTGCTGCATTATTGACTTGTTTTTCCCTAAGGCAGAGACCACCTTGTGACCAACACAGGCTCCAGCCTTAGCTAATTGCCTCCCGAAGACATGAAGACACTCCTGATCTAACAGATTTGGGGTTTTTGACCACATTAGTCCAACAGTTCTTGCTCAGGTGTAGGAATCAATCAATTTTAAGGGTCAACAGCTCTGGGTGGACAACCATGCCCCAAACCTGGCTGTATTGGAGGATAAAACCCATCAGCTGCGAGCTTTGGCTTCCTGCAAATAACATTATGGGGCTAAATTTGGGGATTCAGGAAGCTGATGCTGGCAAGAGAAACAGCATTATGCTTACCCAGCTGTGGGTATAAATAATTTTGCTTTAAAACTGTTGCAGCAGATGAATGCCATGAACCCCCCCAAGAGATTTCCCCAAGGGCAGCAGTGTTGGGTGTGGATGGGGACACGCAGCCCTCCTGCTGGGTTTACATTGCTAAGAAATACAAATTATTTTATTTCTTTTTTTTTTTTTTACAGCCTATCCTGGCCAACATGAGCTCCACCACGGCTCTGTTTGGCAGAAAAAAAAAACCCAACAAAATTCATTTCCCCAACAAAAGCACACTTTGCTAAATCCGCTGATAAATAGAAGGTCCTGACTGAAGCATCCAAGCTGTGCCTCGGGATGTTTTTCATCTCATTTTCTTACATAGGCAGTTTTATTTCCCCCCAGAAGTCTTTGCATATAAACACAAGTGTGACACAGACTAGAACTGGAGGGGAAACATGACCTAAAGTGCCGTACAAGTAAAAGGAGAGAGAAAAGAAGAGCACATCCCTACCACCCAATTAAACCCCACTATCCCCACCAGCTTTCACGTCCAGAAAAGCAAATGTTAACACCAACAAACTCACCTCTGGCTCTCCAGAAGCACTCAGAAATTGGAGGGGCTGCGCTCGGCGTGGGGATGCAGTGGGTGCTGATGGATGCAGGAGCCTGGACTGCCTCGGGAGGAAACCACTCCTGCAAACGTTGTATTGACGCCCATTGGCTGCAGTTCTGTAGCTGCCAGGTTAAAATGTATTTTTGGGTGATGCTGATCGACTTTCGGGGTAGAAAAGCATCATGGGATGCAAATAGACCTTCAGAGAGGTTGTGACATTCATGCCATGGAGACCTGGTGGCGTGCAATGATGCTTTCCAGATGGGATGTAACAATATTTTGGCTGCCAATCCCTACCATCCATGATCTGCCTCTCCTGAGTTAATTGCTACCTCTTCAATTATTGATTCCTATCAGTTTTGCCTCGATTGATGGGGAATGGGGAGAGGAACAGCTTTTGCTCTTTGGCTCAGTGCAACCTCACACACAGCAAAGAACACGAGGAAATTACTTGGGGAGGTGGGGAAGCACTGCCAAGAGGCAGAAAGCTCCTGAACCCATCAGGGACCACAGGAGCAGCCCAAGTGCCACCAAAGTCTTTGCCTTTTTGATACACGTTCCACATTTTGCCTTTGACACGTGAAATATCCACGAACTTGAGCACAAGAGAACCAACCTCTTGGCTTTGCGAGTCCATTTAACGCCTGGCTTGCTCACGCCTGTTTAGCCTTTTAACAGGAATATCAATAAATCTGCATCAAAGCAGCATCAGACACTTGGCTGCAGACAGTCCCATCGTTCAGCAAGCAAGCAGAGAAATCCTGCCTTAGGCTTTAAAGCTGTCTGATAGCAGCGCTTTTCCTCTCACCTCTCTGGCATCATCTGGAGTCTCAGCAGAAGCAAAGTCTGTTTGATGCTTTATCCCTGTTTGCTAAATGGGAATAGCAGAGCAGGGTGCCAAGCCTCCCTGCACGTTGCATGCAGTGTATCTCCACCACTCAGTGCCTGCTACAAAGCATCTCTTGTTAGTCCAGGTAGGAAAACCTGCTACATGCTGCACTCCAGCCTTCCTAGGCTCTGCGCAGCCAGGAAACGGTACAGAGGCAACAGCAGCAGCTTGTCCAGTAATAAAGAAAGAGAAAAATAACAGAATGAATTTTCCCCAGCTATTACACGGAAATTAGCCCCAAAGAGGAGGCTGGATTTATCAGCTTGTATATATAATGGTTTTATTAAGTGCCTCCCCAGAGACTGGAGGAGGAAGGAAGAAAAAAAGCAAAACCTCTGGGGCTTGTGAGATACCTGGATGAAGACAAACACCTGTTATTCCTTAAATGATCGGAAGCACCTGGAGGTTTTGACCTTCTTCACCTGCAAGAAATCCCACAGTGTTGGTCACATTGCTTTAAAACCATTCAACAGCCCCACTGCTGGTTCACAGCTCCATTTTCAGTGCAATCTACAGGAATCACCTGCAAAAAGCCATTTCCAGGCTTGTGGTGGGGAGGGTTTCTCATTTGGTTAAAGGAAAAAAGTCTCAAGACAGGCAGAAGAGGGAGACAGAGCCCAGCAGTTGTGTGCATCACAGTGCATTGGGGGCCCACATTACAGAACTTGGCTCCTGGCTTCTAAGACGCCCTTATTAATAAGAAGCACATCCAATAACTGCAGCCTTTCTTTTGCTGGGGGGCGCAGCAGAAAACAAAACAAAACCACATTTTTAAGAGCAGACTTTTTGTTCTTTCCATTTTTGCTTGTGAAGTGACTTTGCCCACTTGATGGATGCAGCTGCCACCGCTGCCCTAAGGGCGCCCATGGGTTCCTCCTGGGGGAAAACATCTCCAATCAATGCCTCCTCCTCTGCACTCACCGAGCTGTGTTTGACTTTGGGCTGATGGATGGCAAAGCTTTCACCAATGGGTTACAGCTGAACCAGCACAGGGGAGCTCTGCAAGGCTTTCACTCTTGGCTTGTTTTGATACAAACGCAGCCATATTTTTGCAATCCATCTGCCCTGGGCTTTGCTCTGTAAGCGTGATTCCCAGCGTGGCCCATTTATCCCAGTCAGCATATTTAATTCCTATATCCTGAGCAATGCAGAAGGGAATGGCTGCTTTGATCACCAAGATGCTGCAGTAAAAACAGTGAATGTTAAAAAGAAAAATCCTTTCCTTGTCTGGTCTTTAGATTTGGTCTGTGAAAGAATCCTGGAATTGTTAAGGTTGGATGAGAACAATAAGATCCCCCATTCCAACCCCAACCCATCCCACCATGCCCACCAACTGCATCCCTCAGTGCCACATCTCCATGGTTCCAGAACACCTCCAGGGATGGTGACCCCATCACCTCCCTGCACACCCCGTGCCAGTGCCCAACCAATCTTTTGGAGAAGAAATTTGCCCTCATATCCAACCTGAACCTCCCCTGGCACAACCTGAGACCGTCACCTCTTGTCCTGTCTCTGCTAACTGGGAGCAGAAGCCAACCCCCTTCACCACAATCTCCTTTCTGCGGTTGTAGAGAGCCATAAGGTCTCTCAATCCTTCAGGAGGTCAGGCTAAACAAGGAACATAAGGATACCCCAACGTGCACTGGTGATGCTGCTTCCCCCCCCCGGCAACTCAACCAGCATGCAGCAAGTGCCAGTGACACTGCAAAACAGAACAGCAGTCACATTTATTGTGTAAAAACTTTTAAAAAAGAGATGTACAAATACTTCAAGTCAGCAATGTGGTAAAAGGGCCCTGGGGAGCTCATGTGCCCACACAATGCATTGCACTGCTCCAGCCTCCCAAGGCTACTTCGCAGTTTTCCCCAAAGGGATCTCCTGAACCTGAGGATGCGACATTTTCACATTCAGCATCAGCTGCCTCACTGAGAGTTTTACTCCAACCTTCTTTTTCCACCGCTGCTTTCAGCCCTCCAGCTCCTCACTTTTGGCTGTAACAGACAAGCCTTCCTCCTCTTCTTCCTCCTCTTCCTCCTCCATGGCATTGATGGGGATGTATCCTCCTTCCTTGGGCAAGCACCAGCACCAGCCCGCACCGCTCAGATCCAATGCCCCGAAGCTGAAATCACGCACCTCCAGCATCCTGAAGTCCACGGTGTCCAGCTGAGAGTAAATCTCATTGAGCTTCTGCCAATACAGCCACGCCATCACCAGGCCGACCACCTGCAAAACGCACACGTCAAAGCCACCACAGGCGTGCAAACCATCCCCAAAGGTCTTTGTGTGCAAGAGGGGCTGTCACCCTCACTCCCCAACCTGAGCAAGAGATGGGAGAGGACGAGATGCAGTAATGCCAGCTGACAGAGCAGGAGGATCTTTGCTAAATCTGATGACAGCTCTCATGACTTCCCACACTGGCCCTGACCGTGGGCCATGCTGGATATCACTGTGAGCATTGCAAAGCGAGTGGCACAGGTCTGCGTTCTGGCTAAAATTAGGGTAACGCTGCAAGCAAGGTGCCACTTGGGTTATTTCCCTGCTTGGCTGTCAGGGGAAAAAAAAAACAACAATTTAGATCTTAAGGAGGGTGAAGACAAGCATTTCCAGCAGCCCAGGGATTCAAGTCCATCACTTGATTTCCCCCGATGCTTCCTTTGGGGTGATACCTGTACCACCCATCCATTGGCATCTCCTGCAGTGCATTGCTTTGGGAGCTGAAAAAATAACATCTTTTGATCACTGAGCTGGGTCCCAGCTGATCCATTAGGGTCTGCAAAGGGGGAGTGTAGGAAAAGACAAATGGGGATGTCATGCAGCTTAAACCAGGGATCAGTGGGTACTCCCAAATGGAAAGGAGGCAAACTCCTTTTGGTGAGAACTATTGGTGACAGGTTGGACTGGATGATCTCGTAGGTCTTTTCCAACTTTGGTGATTCTATGATTCCACAGGGGAAAAAGCACATCATAAAAAGTGTTACCTGGTGAGCTGAAAGCAAACCCAGGCCAACACAAACAGCATCAGGTTCACCCATTTGCCTTTCAGGGACAGAGAAATGCTCCACCAGCCCCACCAGCAGTGCCCACTGCACAGAAGATACCTCCATACCACTCAGTCTTGGTTTTCCCTCCCCACATTCTCCTGGAGGTGGATCCAGAGGGGAAACCCACACAAAGCTGATTGCTCTTTGCTCTGCACGAAATGGGGAAAACCACATCCACTGGGGTGCTTTGCCAGCATAAAGCCCTCCCTTGAGGTCTGCTCCCCACTCTGGGTCTCAGCTTGACTCCATCAATCCTCAAACAGCATCCTGCCTATTCTACACTCCAGCTAATTAGGGCAACCAATAAGCATCTTCACCCCCTTGATAACAGGATGAATCACCAGAATAACAGGCACGGTGCAGGGGCTGCTGTGTGGTTATGGCCAGCAGGGCTCTCTCCAAAATGCAGAAAGAATGAGTGAATGCCATTAGGGTTCTTTGTTTGGGAAATAGGATTGCAGATACTGCAAGAAAAATTGGGCTGCAGGGACCTGTGGGCAGGAGGGATGCAGGAGGCCAAGGCGATGCGCGGTGCTTGGAGGCACCTTTATCTCCCTATGGAAACAAGAGAGAACACAGAGCAACCACTGCAATGCCCATGTGAAAATAAGATTGTTCTCATCCACGTCCAACAGCAGAGCCCCCAAGGACTTCAAAAGTTTTAAAATAATACTCAAATATATGCCATGCTCCAGCATTATTTACTTCTGAGAGGTCATTGGGCAGCTTAACAGCCCACTGCTGTTAGAGTGAAGGGACCAGGAAAGCAAACCTCTTTGAAGGGACGCATTTTTAGGCAAGCACATAAAATTTTTCCTCAGTTAACCAAACAGTAATTCAGGAAAAAAGATCCGTGTCTACAATAACTTGAATCCAAATGGATCCCATTCTGCAAAATCAGCCAGGTTTGGGGATGCAGCACTGGAAATTTGCCTCCTGCTTCTCTCCTCCTGATGGGACACAGCACTGGGGTGAAGCAGGGGATTTATTTAACTTCATTAAGGTACCCCATGTCCTCAGCCAGCAGCCTGCATCCCCACGCCTTCGCTCTCTTCTGAGTAATGAACCAAGTGCCATTCCAGCTCAGCTCTAAATATCCTCTTCCACTTAATGAAAATGGAAAAAGCTGTCAGGAATATAGATGAATTCAATATCCCCAGCACCAAGGGCACCATGTTTTCCAGAAGTAAAGAGACTTCTAATGGGAGTGCTGATTTTATTGTGCTGCGCTATGAAGGAAGGCTTTATTGCGGAGTTGCCACAATGGGTGAAGCATCAGATTAAAGAAAAAAAGGAAAGATAAAAAAAAAAGTTGTTCTTCTCTCTGCTTTTTCTCCTTGTCATGACTTCATGCTACCGCTGGCGGGTCACTGGAAGCAGTGATTTGCCTGTTCTTTCTGGCTGGTGTTCAGCAAGGGACAGAAAGCGCTGCTGCTGCCTCACGAGGTCCCTACTTCTCTGCTGTTTCCTATCTGTCTGTCTTCTCCCAGCTGCAAATGAGCAGCTTTGAGCTGATAAAGCAGCATCTTACTGCAGCCAATGCCCTTTTTCTCCATCTTTCAGCGTCGCCCTGGGTCTCACCCAGAAAGCTGCAGCTGAACTCTGCCCAAAGCACCCAATCTGGGCAAAGCAACCTCTGCATTTTCCTTTTCAACCAGCAAGAAGGAACTAGAGAGGGGGACCTCTGCGATCAGCAAGGGCCATCTGTAAGCTCTCCCATCCAACCCGAGCAGCTAAAGGAAATTCAGGGCTACCAGAGGGAAAAAAATGAAGCTCTCCAAAGCACAGATTGTCAGAAATTTTGCCCTTGTTCCTGACCATGAGCCACCTGGGAGGATGGAGAGGTAGGCAGCCTGATATTTTTGTTATTTAACGCAAAGACCCGATGATCACTGCTCAGTTAAACCCAGAAGGTTCCCGTGAACGTCTGCAATTCCGTGCTACTGGCTTTCTCTGGAACACCTGTGAGTTTTCTCTATGCAAAACAGCAAAAGCTCAAAAAGCAAATTAAAAACACGTTTTGATCCTGAGCCTATAATTATTTCTAGCTAACTTAGATTCGTGACACTAATTATAACTGGGCACTGTATTATGTTTTAACTATGGGTGTCTGCCTGTCCAGCTGAGCAGCAGCAGCAGGACAACATCTGCTGATGTTTCCAAACCATTGCTGCAGAAAATAAACTGTTATCGAACCTGAGACAGCAAATGTGTCACCTCGTCCACCACTGTTACTCCAAGGCACGAAGAAATGCCTTAAGAGGTACCCAGGAAAGGTGGGAAAGAGATGGTTTGGTAAGGGCAGCTCTGGGCATGGAGGAAATAATCCACTGGCCCAACAAGGGTCTTCTGCAAGCAAAATTTTCTGCAGGAAAACGCTTTTTCCTCCCAGCTATGGAGGTCCTCTCCCATTTGGGCAGCGGTAAAGCAGGATGGATGATGCTAACAAGAAGAGCTAAATCATTTTGAGCTTTCCCAGAGTTAATCAAGTAAAAGTATTTATGTTTTATTGTCTCTCCCTTCCACAAATTGGTATTTAAAGGCAGGGTTCTCACAGAGGTCACAGAATGTAGATGGAAAAATTATTTTTACTCCTTGTTCCTATTTCATTCAGCATGCATGAGCTGCCTGGGAATATAATGCCTGCCAGTCCCTGGAGCAACTTAGGTATGAAAAAGGAAACAAAACAGAAATTAATCTTGGGGGAGAGGGGAGGGGAGGAGAAAAAAGGGGAAGGGGAAGGGGAAGGGGAAGGGGAAGGGGAAGGGGAA